CCCCTTATATTAGTCGAACAAATTCGTTTCCAGGAGGCTTTCAAGAAGGCTGAAAGAGACTTTGGGCCTCTTCATCCCCCCTTGGAACAAATTCCTCCTGAGCAGGTCTGAGCTCTAGACCCTTCATTTCGGTAGAACAGAGTCTTTCTGAGCACGTCTAAGCTCTAGACCCTTCCTTTCGGTAGAACAAAGTCCTCCTGAGCAGGTCTGAGTTCTGGAACTCTTTATATAGGTAGGATAAATTACTCCTGAGCAGGTCTGAGCTCTGGACCTCTTTAGATAGGTAGAACAGACTCCTCGAGAGTGGGTCTGAACTCTGGACCTCTTCATATAGGTAGAACGAGTTTCCTTTTTTTTCCGGGAGGCTTTTGGGGGTTCTGGGCCGTTCATATAGGCAGAACAAATTTTTGTTAAGAAGCTCATTGAAGTCTCTCGGCTCTTCATATAGGTAGAACAAATTTCTCTTCGGGAAGCTACTGGAGGTTTCCGGGCCTGTCGTATAAGTAGAACAAATTCCTTTCTGAGAGTTTCATGGAAGTCTTTCGGCCCTTCATACAGGCGGAACAGATTCCTCTTCGGGAGGCTTCTGAGGGTTTCTGGGTCTTTGCAAGGGGTAGAACAAATTGCTTGTTGAGAGGCTCGGGTAGGTGGGGATGTAACTCATGCAGCAGGCTGCTGAATGCGAATGTGTTCTTTTTTCTGCTGGCTTTCTTTGGGTGCTTGCCGCTTCAGCTGCTTTGCAGCTTCTGCATGGTATCTTTGAGATTGTGCGCGGACATGTCAGTCTTCATGCGGAGTCGACGTTTGGCTGGCCTCTGTCGAATCTCGTTTGACCACAGAATTGCCGAGGCTTGGACAGGCTGGTTGTGACCTCGAAGCACCACTCGGATGCGCTGATTTTGGGAGCGAAGTTTGCCGGCTCGTACAGCTGCTCTGGATGCTCTTCTCACTAAGGTGGCCATTGTAACATTTCTGCATCCGAAAGAATTCACCTCGCCGATGTCTTCGCAAGAGAATGCAGTGGTGAAGGCAGCTTGCATGAAGTCGCGTTGGGCTTGCAAGTTGCAGGTAACGATGAACTCGCCGCGGGGAATCCGTCTGAAGACGACTGCACGACGGCTGGATTCCGTAGGTATTGCCCATGTCAGAAAACCACCATCTGCGCAGAGGTTGTGTTTGAAGTGCTTCTGGGGGAGGTCCAGGTGGGTCGGGATGTCAAGCTCATTGGCTCTTTGCACGTGGATGACTCTGCGCGTCTTGTCGATGTAAGCACGGTGCCAGGACTGTGCGGGTAGGACAGCAACCACTTTGGCCAGGTCGATGAGCTGTTCTTCCTTGATGCCGTCTGCCCAGTTGATAATCGTTATTTCTGCCATGGCGAGCGGTTGATAGGACTTTTGATTGTGCGTCTTCAATACTCGTTGGTATCCTGAGCCGAAACGTTTCTGTCTGGCAGAGATTGTTGGATTCATGTCCTACAGCTGCGGTACGTATACTTTTTCGAGCTTAAAATCAGCAGAGCCTCGTGCTGGCCTTTCGAGTACCATGAGGCATGACAGTTTGTTGGATCGTCTTGGCTGCAATTCCCTTCGTACGATGATGCTTCAGACGTTTACGGCTGAGCTTTCTCTCGGCGCACGATGTCAGGTGTTCGGTCCTTTCGGTAAAGACGCGGCGAGAGCCGCCCCAGAACCGGCAGTCCGAATCTGACAATCCAGTCGTGGGACTGTTCTGCTGAGGTTCGCCTGCCAAGGTAAGTACATGAAGTACAGAGTCGAGCCCATATCCTCGAAACCCCGAAGCGTGGACTTGGACTCACAAAGAACAGTCTTCTTGAGGGAGCTACAATGAATGTCGGTTTCTACGGAAGCACTGTTTTGATTCGCAAGTGTTGCCTCTGACCTTTTCAGGCCAGTTTCGATAAATATACCCGCCTCATGCTCATTGTTCGACAGATTGCCCCCGACTCGAGTACTGATTTCAGTTGCGGTGTCCTTTGAAAACTTGCAGTGGTACATAACGATACACACTGAAGATTATTGCAAGGTCCTCTTCCTCGGTTAGCGAGTCGGAGATCTTTTCCCCAAACCAGTCCGCCTCTGCGGCACATCGCTGGCCTTGTCGAGCTAACCTGAGAGATACACCCTACCTGTGGCGGAGCATCGAGGACCCGGCATATGAAGACCGATTGCCCCCAAGAGCACCGAGGGTTCTCCGCCAATGGCACGTTGTGATCGCGGCACACGTGCAAGGGGCCAGGACTACAAGTGCCTCGGCTATACTGGTGTTCTTCGCGCTCAGACTTCGGTCTTGCACGCAAAACCAGGAAGAGCTTCGAACATGAGTGCTATACATGGGCATCGCCAACAAGGAAGTTCGGAGCTGAAGACTCGAGCAATCGTGCTGCAGATCCATGCGCGAGGTCTTGAACTACGGCTGTTGCAAGAACGAACCTCTCGACAAGCTCTGCTAATCATTCCGATGTTGCTAACTTACAGCGTGGACCCTTCATACAGGGCTTGTACATGTGGAACAAACTTACTTTCCGAACTCTGAACTCTGGACCCCTCATGAAGGGCTCTCGATCCTTCATATAGGTAGAACTCATTTTTCTTCGGGGGGCTTCTGGTGGACTTTGGGCCTTTTAAATAGGTAGAACACATTCCTTGCTAAGAAACTCTTGGAAGTCTCTTGGCCCTTTATATAAGTAGAACAAAGGATCCTTGAAGCGCCAATGCCAAGTTCTTGTGAGTATCGCGCAATCGACCTTAGCAGTTGCATGCGGGCGAACATTGTTTTCGGGCTGGTCGAGTTGGTATGCCGCTGCTGCCCTTCACCTGGACCTTCTCGTGACTGCCTATAGTAATTGTTCTTTCCTTGTTTTTAGTATAAGTGGCATATCGGATTTTTGGTGGGCTTGGGAAATTGATGTGTGGGCCTTCACTCAAGCCTCAGTACCTTTGATTCTGGCTTTGACTTTGGCTTTTTGAGGTGTCTAGGTGGGCGTTGGCACAAGAAGAAGCACAGATGCCTTTCTAGGAAGCCTTGGTGGCATGAAGCCTTAAGTGTTTGCTGTCCACAAGCCGACGAAGCAAGGTCTACGCAGACATAGTGCCAAAAGCGTTCAGGGCTGCCAGCGATCAATCGACCTAAAGCATCGGAGCATGTAGAATTCACGCACGGTTCAAGTGGCTAAGCGACTGCTCATCGTATGCACTGGTCGCGCCTGCTCGAAGAAATCGTCCCAGGTGACGTCGCCCCTGCAGACTGCGTGGAACAGGCCAGGATTACCATGCGACTTTGAGGCGCGAGCACTGCTTTGCTCAGCTGCTCCGCGAGGACCATGACTTCCCTGCGGCAGCAAAGAGGTGTGCAAGAACATTAGTTAATTCGATGCATCCGCAGCCTGAGACGCATTCGAAAGCACTGTTTAGTAACGTTGTCACACGGCTTCGTCTGGAGCAGTGCCTGGGTGGCAGCGTGGCAACAGTAGGACTTACGTACGCCGCAGGCTGGGCGACCGGCGAAGCGATAAAAGACAACGGGCGTGGCTGAGCCCTTGATGTTCAAGAGCTTCTCTTCGGTGTCGAGTGCCTCGCAGATTCACGAGACGGCAGTTGATGTGAGATCCGGTGCCACCTTTTGGACTCCGGAGTCAGATGCCCAGGACGGCAACCTCGGTACTGCAGACATGTACATTCAAGGACGATGGAGCTACCAATTGGGCAAGCTGCGTAGCCAGCCGCTTTACCATGAGGGTTTGACGGCCTGAGAGATTCAGCGAGCTCATGCTCGCCCACTAACTTCGTGCAGAGCTCAGACGACACAGTTTTGGCCTGTAAAACAGTAGACAAGAGATGCGGCGATGTTTCGAGTCTCCGCAATTCCGAGGCCTAGGCCCGGAGCAGAAGGACACGCTGGACGCAGCGTGATAAGTTGGAGCCGTAAGTGTGCAATTAAAGTTGATTCGGTGCTTCGTGATGTTTCCATGCTGCCGAGACCGGTGCACGGCAATGACACGGCAGTTGAAGAGAAGCACATTACGACGTATTTTCGTTTCATTGTTGTCAGGCGGTCTGCAGTATAACATGATGATGCTAAGGGTGGCGAGCTTCGCAACTTGGGCATAAAACGGCACGTCAACAGAATGGGAGTAAAAGTGTGCAGAAGGGATTGCATGCAAATGCTGAGGTTGCAAGACATGTGAAGGGCTGCAGATACGTCACGCTGATTGTTTTGGCTTCGAAGCTTTTCATCCCCCCTTGTGTTAGTGGAACAAATTCATTTCCAGGAAGCTTTCGCGAAAGCTGAAAGAAGCTTTGTGCCCTCTCCATCTCCCCTTATATTAGTCGAACAAATTCATTTCCAGGAGGCTCTCAAGAAGGCTGAAACAAGCTTTGGGCCCTTTCATCCCCCCTTATATTAGTCGAACAAATTCATTTCCAGGAGGCCCACAAGAAGGCTGTAACAAGCTTTGGGCCTCTTCATCCCCTTTCATATTAGTCGAAAAAATTCGTTTCCAGGAGGCTCTCAAGAGGCTGAAACAAGCTTTGGGCTTCTTCATCCTCCGTTAATATTAGTCGAACAAACTCATTTCCAGGAGGCTCTCAAGTGGCTGAAACAAGCTTTGGGCCTCTTCACCCCCTTTACATTAGTCGAACAAATTCATTTCTAGGAGGTTCTCAAGAAGCTGAAACAACAATGACACGGCAGTCGAAGAGCAGCACATTACGACGTATTTTCGTTTCATTGTTGTCAGGCGGTCTGCAGTATAACATGATGATGCTAAGGGTGGCGAGCTTCGCAACTTGGGCACAAAGCGGCACGTCAACAGAATGGGAATACAAGTAAGCGTGCAAAAGGGACTGCATGCAAATGCTAAGGTCGTAAGACATGTGAAGGGCTGCAGATATGTTACACTGATTGAATTGGCTTCGAAGCTTGCTCACAATACGTTGCATGTTTAAAAAAGACGAGTCTGTGCTCACTGTGCTCCAGGATCACCACACGGCACTGTGGATGGCATTGCAGACATTCGCGAACTCCTTCTTGTTCCATGGAGGTTTGGTCTCGCTCTCCAAGACGGGCACGAGGATGTAGCGCGGGTCATAGGCGAGCTTGGCCCTCAGGGCTAAACTTTGACCGTCCGCAGAGACCCGGATGTGCAAGATGTGGTCCGTTGCCTGCAAGTTCTCTTTGAACTCGTTTAGGTGTCTTCTTCCTAGTGCGGGTACCGTCTGCACCATGTGGCTGAAGCGGTCCAAGAGTCTGGCTGAAATGTGCCCATGCGGCTTGCGCAGAAGCAGGTCTCCGAAGAGGAGACGGTTGGTGTCTCCAAGCACAGGAGTCTGCAGCTCGCACATTTCGTACAACGGAAATGAGGGCATGGGCAAGCCGGACTCTTCAAATTCCGGTGGTGTTCTGCCGACGACGACTCTGATGCTGGGATGCGCCTCCTGCCCAACCAGCACCTGCAACTCCAGAGCCTCGCCTTTCTCAGGGACCATTGCATGCAGGCGAGCACGTGGGAAGACTACTTGCCCCTCGTGCAATAACTGGAACTGCTTCCCTCGCCACTTATGGCAGAGGCGGCCAAAAGGGACTGCCTCTAACCACGGCTGATTTCTCTTGACATAGATCTGCGCCACGACCTTGCCTGAAAAGGCAGCCAGGGTGCAGGAGATGTACAGGCGCAAGTTGTTCGGCACTTTTTACGCTGCCAGAGCTTGCAGATGTGTGGCTTGCATCACGGGCTCTACGAGGGTAGGCAGTCGGATGCTGTGCAGAGTGGTACACAAGCTCTGGCGGAGCTCGTGCAAGGCGTTCGAGAGGTCCAGCAAAACGGCAGCCTGCTCCGCGAGTGATTCCTCTTTTTTGGCACGCTTCAACTCATGGATGATGTTGCACAAGGCCGCCGTCAGTTCGGACGAAGCCACCTGGGCATAGTGATGCATGAAATCACACTGAACCGTAACAAAAACTGCTCAGCGGAGCACAGCGGCCTCCACCGGGTGCATTTGGAGCAAAGGTGCAAGGCGGTTGGTCATGAAGCCGTGGCAAACTTGCTCTACTTTAGGTTCCAAGTTCTACACGAAGCCAAATGGCAGCGTTACACGTGGAGATATGAAGCAATACTTATGCATGGTCGGAAAGTGCAAAAGTACTTGTGGGTGTCTGGAACTTCGTTAGGGTGAGGCCGATCGGCTCCGTGGCTACTACATACGGAAAGTCAACATGTCAGTCGTAGCTATGCCAACAAGCATGCAGACGTCGGTTTGATGATCAAGCAAGTTGCGTTGCTTGCTTATGTGAAACCTTCAGTATGCTCTTAGCAAGCGACAAGGCTTCGGCGTTGTCTTATCGGGACGTGCCGATCCCTGATCGGGACGGGAAGCTGTCACTGTTGTGGTGCCTACCGACGATGACTTACCTGCGTCCACGTCGGGCGTGTGCCTTTGATCTGAGTAGGTTCGGTGACGTCAGCTCGGTGTCGGTTCTGGAGGCATGTGCGTCTGGATGTCTATGAAGTGACACATGCAGGAGCAGGCACGGATCGGCCTCTGTTTTGTTTGCCGCGAAGCTGTTACTGTGACTGTTGGGTGACACTTGTAGGACGCTTCCGTTTGCCCTTGCCTCTCTGAGATCTGGCATCGGGTGGCATGCGCGTTAGGCTCAGGCAGTGCTCGCGTCGTAGCCAAGTCACGGCTCCACGCGCCGCCCACGCTGGCACCTGTGCGAGTACTCTTGTCCGCACTCCTTCGTACGAGTTGTGACACTTGCCTCGAAAGGTTCCGGATGGGCGCGAACGTCCTGCAAGACCCACGCATAAGTCTGATTGGCCTTGTAGTTCAATGCCTGCGAGCCGGTCTGGGTGCTGTGTGTTTGAAGTACACAGCGATGCGCCTGCAGGACGCCGGCGAAAGTGATCTGTTCCTCGACGGTAAGGGCACGCGATTCTGCCAGGATGGCGGTTCCCTTGATGGTTTTGGTCCCGGTCTCCATCAAACTGATCTTGCACCCTATGCGGTCCGATGGACATGGCTTGCTGCGAAGTTCCACTGTTTTTGCACCTGGCGTCACGCGTTCGATCACGGCTGATGCTATGACCTCACGCGCACGACGCTCGGGGTCTGTGCCTTCAAGTATTTCACGTAACCACACTGGGCGAATCTTCAGCGCGTGTTCTGTTGAACCGAAGGCGTGGCCGACCCAGGCTATGTCGTTGCTCCAGCCTGGGTTGTGTGTTGGCTTCAGACTGTAGCAGGTGATATTGGGCTACATGGAGCTTTCTGATTGTGCCCTCTCGTAAAATCTGTTGTCGAGCGGCTTGCTGAGCTTGTAGGCGTCGGCTCGGTGCGACCTTCCATCGCTTCGTGGAAATCGAGGTGGCTGGTCTCTGCCCGCTACGGTTTCACAGGGCTTTAGAGTGACTGCTTTGGCAGGCGACGGCTCGAGCCCGTGCTTTCGGACTTTGTGCACGTGGTACAGATGCAGTTGTGATGCCGAGGTTTGCTTCGACACATGTATACGTGGAACCGAGTTGGGTGGGGGCTGTGGCAGGTAGGATATTATGTGCGCTTGATACTGGACTGTAATTTGTCGTGTGTTGCTGTTGTTTAGGCTCACGTAACTATCGAGATGATGCAAGGACGACTTCCAGGCTAGGCAAAACTGCTGTGTAGCATCGGTCTCTTTTTTTTTGCACTTGGCATGGGCACAGTGGAGAGGTGAAACCAGTCGCTAAGTCGCATGGCGACGGCTCTCGGATAGGAGTCTTCGCAGGTTTTGCGGGGCCAGATCTGTCTTGGTTCGGAGTCTGCGCATCGGAGTTCTCCGCCTGATCTCTTGTGACCACACCAGACTGTCGCCCGTCGGTTCGAAAGCACAGTCGTGCAAAACTAGCCGCACGCGCTGCAGAGGCGATCTGAGGGACTCTGATTCCAGTGCTGCTCTGTGTGCTTTCTGTATCAGCCTGTCGAATTTAACCTCTTTGCAGCGAAAGTTTGTTGGATGGTGCATGCGACGGCCACTCAGAGTGTAGAACTCGGCTGTGAGGGTGTCGCGACACACGTGCAGGAAGCACTGCACCATCAGAGGTTCTTGTGGACTTCTGCGAATAACGACGGTGCGTGGACCATTCTTCACCGGATAAGCTTTGAACTCGGCTTCGTGCTCGTAGCCGCGGCCTAGTAGCTGATTGTCCCCGGCTATGAAGCCGTTTTGTTCATGTGCCCTCTTCCAGCTGCGAGATGACAGTCCGTGTACTATACGAGCAAATTCCTTGAGCTGTACCTTTCTGAGTCCGCCTGCCCAGCTGACCTCTGCATATTCGTACTCGGACTGGTAGGCTTCATCGAACATGGCAACGCTTGCGCTTGGGTGATTACAGGTGTAAGACCACTTACATCGATGGCTGCTGGAGCTTTTGCATCGGTGGTGTCGAGGGTTTGTTGTCTTTCGCTAGCCCATGTGTTGACGATCGGTTGCTTGGCAAAGGCCGTGATTCGAGCTTTACCGGTTCTGTAGCCAGGTTCTCGATTATCCCTCCTTAAAGCTGTGCTGCCACCCGATTCAGGCGCAGCTTCGACTAACGTGCGGGCCTTGGGTTGCTGGATTCTGCTTTTGTTTTAAGCCGGGGAACCGGGACAGTACGACGGACATGTTGCCGCTGTGAGTGTTCTGTGTACGTAGGCTCCGGTTTTCCTGCTGAAGTTGGCGGCATATGTTCACATTGGGCACTCGTCTAGGGTTTGGGAGGTCGCTGTGCTAAGGCCGTGTCAGGTGACATAAACGTGCTGTGCTTCTTCCTGCGGTTTTACGGGCACACTGCTCAGGTGAGACTTCTCTTCCTGTGTCGCATGAACCAATAGGTTCGTGTGAAACGTTCAATATAGCTGTCGGAAACGATGGGGCTTTAGCCTTGCTCTGACTGCCAGGTAGAGACTATTGATCCGGCCGTGCAGCTGCCACTTCAGGTCAGGAAGCGTGTAGGTGATCCACTGCACTTCTCAGGTCTCGGGCCCCCGACTTCCTTGCCACACGTCATCAGACGCTCGACTCTTGTGCCGATGCCGCACATGCGTAGAAGGCTAACCTGCTCTGAAACGCTGCCTGTCATGTGGCCCTCTGGCACGTGCACTTCAGTCGGGCAGTTCCATAAAGTAATTTCACTTGACCAGGTGTGGCACATCGACATGCTGAACGATCTTCTGACGATGATTCCGCCTGTGCACGGCCTTCTCTCCGTTGTAATGGAAGCATTACCACCTGTCATGTCCCGAAATGTGGAAGGAAGCTTCTTTGTGAAGCCACCTGTAAGACCATGCGGCCTGCGTGCACATGTCGTGCTTGCTTTCCAAGGGCCCAGTTATCGATTCTCTTGATCTGCTTGGTTGCGGAGGCTTTCCCGTTATGTGCAGAGCGACTGACATGAGACTTTCTGCATAGCGTACTCGTGATGACAACCAAGTTTACAGATCTGTGCGTGGTGGTCTCTGGGCTTTGTATATATGTAGGTAGAACAAATTTCTTGTTAAAAGGTTTATGGAGTTCTCTCTGCCCTTCATATAGGTAGAACAAGATCCTTTACAGGAGGCTTTTGAAGGTTTTTACGTCCTTCATATAGGTAGGACAAACTCCTTGTTAAGAGGCTCATGGAGGTCTCTCGGTCCTTCATGTAGCTAGAACAACTTCTTCTTCGGGAAGCTTGTGGGGGCCTGGGCCTCTTCATCCTTCGTTATATTAGTCGAACAACTTCCTTTTGAGGGTGTTCGCAAGAAGGCTGAAAGAGGCTTTGGGCTTCTTCATGACCTCTTATATTAGTGGAACAAAGTCATGTCCAGGAGGTTTTTAAGAGGTTGAAACCAGCTTTTGGCTTCTGCATCCCCCCTTATATTAGTCGAACAAATTCGTTTTTGGGGAGCTCTCAGGAAGGCTGAGAGAGTTTTTGGGCTTCTTCATCCCCCCTTATATTAGTCGAACAAATTCGTTTCTGGGAGGCTCTCAAAAAGGCTGAAAGAAGCTTTGGGCCTCTTTATCCCCCTTATATTAGTCGAACAAATTCGTTATCAGAAGGCTCTGAAGAGGTTGAAATCAGCTTTGGTCCTCTTCATCGCCCCTTATATTAGTCGAACAAATTCGTTTGCAGGAGGCTTTCAAGAAGGCTGAAAGAGGTTTTGCGCCTCTTCATCCCCCCTCATATTAGTCGAACAAATTCGTCTTTTAGGAGGCTTTCCAGAAGGTTGAAAGAGGCTTTGTACCTCTTCATCCCTCCTTATATTAGTCGAACAAAGTCGTTTCCGGGAGACTTTCAAGAAGGCTGAAAGAGGCTTTGCGCCTCGTCATCCCCCCTTATATTAGTCGAACAAATTCCTTTCGAAGAGGCTCTCAAGAAGGCTGAAACAATCTTTGGGCCTCTTCATCCCCCCTCATATCAGGCGAAGAAATTCATTTCCAGGAGGCTCTCAAGAGGCTGAAACAAGCTTTGCGCCTCTCCATTCCCCCTCATATTAGTCGAACAAATTCGGTCCAGGAGGCTCTCAAGAAGGCTGAAACAAGCTTTGGGCTTTTTCATCCCCTCTTTATATTAGTCGAACAATTTCTTTTACAGGAGACTCTCAAGAGGCTGAAACAAGCGTTGGGCCTCTTCGTCGCTTTCCTACATTAGTCGAACAAATTCATTTCCGGGACGTGGGTGAGGCTCGTCGGGCGCTTGCATTTGCGCTTGTTCGATGCATGTGAGCCATGCGCAGGCAGTGTTCGCTTTGCAGCCATCCCACCGCTCCCCTTGCTGCTGACGATGGAACTTGCTGGCACGTGGAAGTGAGCTGCACGGGTTGCGACGGGAGTCTGCTTGGAAGGGCGTTGGATGCTCTTGGATGTCCTGTGGGGGTCACACGTAGGTGTTGTCGCCGTCGTAGCCAAGGGCCTGTAAGCACGAACATCGAGTCTTGTACGTGGGATGTGGCTTGGTTTGCCTGCAGGGTATTCGCACAGGCCGCTTGTTCTCGGATGGTGAGACGATGCGATTCTTTGATCATGGCCGTGCAGCGAATAAGCTTGGTTCCTGTGTCCACTAGGTTAACTGTGTGTGTTTCGAGGCGCGATGGGCATGGCTTATGTCGAAGCTTGGTCGCCTTGGTACCTTCAGACCGTCGTGATGTGTCGACTGAGTTGCTACTCGGGAGGAGGGCGGGGGACAAACTTTTCTTCGGCAGGTCTGAGCTCTGGACCCCTTCATATAGGGAGATCAATCTCTTCTTGAGCGCCGGGCTCTGGACTCCTTCATAAAGGAAACAAATTCCTGAGCAGGTCTGAGCTCTGGACTCCTTCATATAGGTAGAACAAAGTCCCGCAGAGCAGGTCTGAGTGCTGGACCTCTTCATATAGGTAGAACAAACTTCTTTTGTGCAGGTCTGAGCTCTGTGTCCTTTTTTTGCCGCGGATCGTGCTGTTGCCCTCACTGGTCGCCTTGCCGGCTCCTTTTGCGCTTAAAGCCTCCATGCAGTTGAGCAGACCTTTAAGAGCGGATGCTGGTAGAATGGGACTTCCATGCGTGTTGGCAGACCTGGCCTGGTACGTATCAAGTGCTGTTGGGTTGTCTCAATTCCGGTTGGCATGGTCTGCCCAAGTTGGGTCCGACTTTGGTGCAGCACGCTGGCAACAGTTTGTTCGTTGAGACCGCATCTGCATCTGTGCCTAAGCCGACGACCTTCTGCACTGTCTAAGGCGATCAATGTCTTGGGCAGGTGTACATGTTCGGTGCCCAAATTGTCCCGGCGGTAGAGTTTCTGCGTTGCAGATTACGTGTTTCTGGGAGCCAGGCGAGAGAACGTGCCTGTGCCGCACTTTCAGGGCTTTGTCGAACTCTTGCCTTTTTACATCTGACGAGGATGCCCAGATGCGATTCTCCAAACTTGGAAGTGTCGGTGCTGTAACACTGGTCGAGGTGGCCTTTGCATCAAGGTGCTAATGCTTTTGGCCATGGTGCTCTAGGCGTGTCGGGAGGACTGGCGCGCCGAGCTTGATTCGTTTAGCTGCTGCAGATGGATTGTTCGATCACCACAGGGTGCACATCTCTGAGCTCCCCATGCCGAGCCAACCGGCTTTCAAAGGTCTGGAGATGTTTTCAGCTTTTTCAGCCTTTCGTATAGGTTGTACAAACTCTTTTTCACGGACCTGGAGAAGCTTTCAGCTCCCTGATGCGTCATGTAAGTAGAATAAACTCTCTCCGGAGGCTTGGAGAAGCTTTCGTATTTCTGAGCTTTTGTATAGGTAGAATAAATTTTAGTGGGCTGCGGGTAGTGATTGTGCATGGACCGGTCTGATTTTCAGGGTGAAAGCAGGACGTTGGGCGCGGTAGTTGCGCGGTGAAACTATTGTTGGTGCTCGTTTTGCTCGAGCAATTCTGTGAATGCCTGCTTTGAAGCGTTTGCTCCGTTTTCTGATATGTTTCTTGTGCATATGTCTGTCTTGGTGTTGCTCTAATTCTGTCGCGCGCGACCGAGCTCTGCAAGGCGGCTACGTTGCAGCCAATGTGAAGTCCTGGTTTTGCTTTGCGCTCTCACTCCCACGAGTGGCTCGTACAGCAAATTGGGTCCTGCGAACGCAGTTGCGCAATATGGAATCGTTCTGATTCAGATATAGAGTGTGTCATGAAGGACTAACATGCAAAAATTGTCCCAGCCTGCTAGCAGCCAGTCTTCCTGGATAACGCAGCTCTTGTATAGCAGCACCAGCTGGTAAGGTGTGCTCGGCAGACGTTCTTGTTGTTCGAGGAACTCGTTGGCCAGGAAATGCAGGTCGGCACCGTAGACATTTGACATTTCCTGAGGGTGTGTTTAGCATGTGGCACAGGAGTTACATAAATGTGGAAAGGCATAAGGCCCTGTCGCTCCATCGATTGACCTCTAGCACATCGCCGCTGACGCTGCGAAAAGTCACTTTGCAGCCTGCGTCCCAGGAGAACTCGCAGGTCAGGATGATGTTCCTGGCAGCCAGGTGCTAAGTTGCATGATCTTTGATGGAGTTGTATTCCTGAATCTGAGTCGATCGCATAGCGGCTGCATTCGTCCGAGCGTTTTCGGAGCGTGGCAGAATCGGACTCTCGATGGTAAACGTTGCTGAAACCATATGCTGACTTGCCATGCGGCGTGGAGAAGCTTTTAGCTTTCTAGGGCCTCCATATGGGTAGAACAGATTATCTTCCGGGAGCTTAGAGATGCTCTCGGCTGTTCAAAGCCTTCATATAAGTAGAACAAACTCCCTTCCAGCGGCTTGTAGCTATTTCCGGCTTCCTGAGCCCTTCATAGAGGTAGAACATCTCTTTGTCCTCTCTCATATTAGTCGAGCAAATTCATTTCCAGGAGGTTCTTAAGAGGCTGAAACAAGTTTTGGGCCGTCTCATCTCCTCTTATATTACTCGAACAGATTTATTCCCCGGAGATTTAAGAGGCTGGAACAAGCTTTAGGCGTGTTCGTCCCTCTTGTATTAATTGCTAAGAGTCTTGCGTACGTCTTTGGGCTCTACATGCAGGCAGAACATTTCCCGTGCCAAGAGGCTTCTGGTGGTGCCTCGTCCTTTCATATAGGTGGAGGGAATTCCCTGTCAAGAGGCTTGCGGAGGTCTCCGGGTCCTTCATACAACTAGGACCAATTCCTTGCCACTGGGCCTGCAAAAGGTTTCTGGGTCTTCATATAGATAGAACAATTTCATTGCGAGACGGTGCTGGACGTGTCTCGGGTCTTTTTATAGGTACAATACAATCCTTGCCAAGAGGCTTCTGGAGGGTGTTTGGGCTCTTCGTACAGGTTGAACAAATTCCTTGCTAAGAGGCCCGTGCAGGTCTCCGGCCCCTTCATATATGTAGAACACATTCCGTACCAAAAGGTTCTGGAGGTGCCTGGGCCTTTCATACTCTTTGAACAAGCTTCTGGCCAAGAGGCTTCTGGGTGTCATTGGGGTCGCTGTGTCCTTCATATAGGTAGAACAAATTTCCGGTGAAGAGGCTTGTGTTGGTTTCTGAGCCCTAGCTGCAGGTGGGACAAACTTGTTGCCAAGAGGCTCGTAGAGGTCTCTGGGTGCTTTATATATGTAGAACAAATTCATTGCTAAAAAGCTTGTGGAGGTCTCCGGGCCTTCCATATAGGTAGAACAAGTTCCTGTTTAATTGTTAAAGTTGTATCCCGACAGGCTGACTCCGCAGCTTCTTTTTATTCTACAGGGGCAAGCGTCGTAGGTCTGTGTGAGTCGTGCGCAAAATCTTTTTCTGCTCAAGAATGTGGTCTTCTCACAACACGTGGAGCTGGGCTCTTCCCGCGGCGATAGCTGACAGCTTCTGTCTTCGGCATTTCCATGCCAATATCAGCTGCTTCCGAAGCTTGGCGAGCCCTTGCTTCGTGATGAGTGTCTTGTGTCGTCGTTGTGCTGAATAGAGCTGTCCGACCATCTTTCGAAGTCGGTGGTAAATGTATTTCCAGTCTCTGGAAGCCTCTTCGAAGAGAACGCCTGGCGAGCTTTATTACATGTTTAAAGTGGCAAGCGCATTTTCAAATGCCGCTCCGCTAGGCCTTCAGCGTTTTGGATGAGCATGTTCAGGGCGTTGCCGATCTCTGCATATAGGCCGGCCACGCGAGTGGAAGACATGAATTTTCTGGAACGATCGCCAGTGTTGCAAGTCTTGACTTATGTCGGCTTGTAGTGCCACATTCTAGTTTGTAGTGCTGGCTCCGGAAATGTGGGCGGCTTCGAGGAAGAGATGGCTGCAAGACAGGTGGTGGCTGCGGCAGCTTTGTACTTGCACAGGGCCCTTGGCATGCACAAGTTGGAGACGCTGAGGATCCTTTTTGGGAGAGATGTCGCTACCTCCATCAGTGCGTGAGACATACCAGACTGACTCTTAGTACGCGAATGCGCTCTCGCGTGCCGGCGGCGTTGATCCAGGCGATCAGGTTATCATTGAAGAATTCGATGAGGTGCTGCTTGCCACGACGCCTACCTGTGACCGCGCCTTCTTGTTCCAGACAGACGAAGGCGTAAAGGGGTCCCGTGGCTCCAGTTCCGGCTGCCAGCAGTTGTCAATACTCACGGCTCTGGGCCGAGTGTTCGAGATGCAAGTCCATCAAACACTCGTGCTTGGCAGGAGATTCGGCTTGAGCGCACAACAGCTTCAGCGTCTCCAAGGCACCATTCTTCTCAATCGTGCACTGAAAATGGATTTCGGTGTTGCCGTGGAAGAGAAGCTCGCGCGCATGCAAGATGGCTTTGCGTAGCAGATGAGTCTCGGCGTGCCAGTAGTCGCTGGTTTCCCCGCAAGCATTCTCGACGTCGGAGTCAATTACATAGTCCTGCTCCGCCATGAAAGCTGTTAAACAAGAGCCTATAGTCGCTAACAACACACACTTCGAGCACAAGTACTGCAGTGTTAGCATCTCATTTGCTGCATAACGAAGGACAGCATGCTGCATCGGTTAAGGAAATGCAAAACATCACAGTCCTAGCAAGCAAAAAGGCAGCCGTCGGGCAGAGGCAAGTCTTGCTACCTCTCTTGCAAAGTAGACTTTCTGCACCCCCGGCGTTCGCGCTGCTCGGGATTGCTATCTACATCACGAAGTGCCACTCATTTGGGGGCTGCGGCTGCGTTCGCGAGCTTGCGGAGTCGACACAGGCAGCTCTTCTTTCTGTCGCAAAACCACCACGTAGGGGTTCTGGCCCGCGCATGAGTTGATACGTGTGGCCCATGCTGACCTACCGCTTACGCTCACGAGGACCCAATCATCGTCAAGGTGGCTGCCGGGCTGTGTCAACAGGTAGGGACCCCAGCTACTGCGGTTTTCTAAATCCGGTCGCTCTCGTCCTTTCGTCCATTTCCTTGGAGGCACTCTGAAGGCAGTAGCTCCCAGCAAGTTGATGTCGCCGGGCCAGCGGACATAGACACCTTCCCACACTTTTTTTGCTGTAGACTCCATCACTGCTCTAAGGGTGCTGGCAGGAATCCACGCTAGTGGCTGGAGTCGGGACGTGTGCGTGTGTGCTTAGGCTGTTGGACTACTTCATGGTAGATCGTG